ATTAAAGTTTTCAATGAAGCCAAGTCCTCTGCGTGAACACTCATTGAGTAGAAATGTATTTAGCTGATACAGACGGCTAAACTTCTCCATTTTTCCATCTATATTTGGCAGTGGGCCACTAAGAAAAATTGTTATGTCCATTTTCTTGAGGTCATCCAGTAACAGCGTTAAATCCATTCGTAACTTCTCGCTTGCCTTCTCATAGATATCTACCGCCCCCGTGTGGATCAATAATGTACGCACACCACTGTTCTCAGATAACACTCTAGGCAGAAGAGTTCTTATCTCAGCAACTTTAGCAGAGTGAACTGAGACAGTGAGCATGGACTCCATGTTTACATTTTTCACCGAGCCATCTCCGATAAGGATACAGTTTGTCCTTGGTGGAGGCGCTGCAGTTTTTAGCAGCTTTGTTGTTTCAGAAAGGGGTAAAAAGCGGTTTGAAGTCTTCAGAACATTTAGTTGTGGCCTTATTTCACTCCTATTGTCATTCTTAGCTTTGTCAACTTTGGGTTTGGCTCCACAATTGTTCCAATAATTCTCATTGTTGATTTTGGGAAAAGAAATGACGTCATAACTTACATTTCCAGTCTGTCCATTCATCCCATTTTCACTCATTGGAAGAGTCGGGTTAAGTCCCATTTCTGTTTCCACAATAGATATCCGTGTTTGAAGAGATTTAAGCTGATTTTCCAAAGCACAACAGCCACCGCAGACGCTTCTCCGTCTCTTCCGTCCCGACATGACTAATGTTGATAAATTCCACAAAGCTGAAGTGTGTAGAAGGAGTAATCCTCGTTTTGTAAATAAAATGATTAAAGGAGAAACAAAAAATGTAAATAAAATGATTCAGGGAGATTAAAAGGCGAAGCAAAAGCAGAGCAGAGAGACACGACCGCTCTCTCGAGAAGCAGGAAGCAGGAAACGTATTCTGCTGTAGCCAAACAAATATGCCGCTCTCTAGGTCCAGTTGATTTCTATGATATATATGTTCATCTGATTGGACTGAAGTCAGTGCTTCACTGGTGTTTCCACATTCACAGTAGCGGGTGTTTGTGTTTAGTGCTTACAGCACAGAGAGAGATGAAGAGTGAACAGGACTTCAGCAGCAAAACAGCCTTTTCTAGATGGAAACATTGGCACTATTTCAGACTCACTGAGGTTAAAGGTAAAAATGCGCACGTCGAGTGCACATTATGTTCCAGAACAAAACGAAAAAGTAACGCAATAGTTACTTTTACTGGTAACTAGTTACTTTTATAGTGGAGTAACTCCGTTAGTAACTCAGTTACTTTTTGGGAGAAGTAACTAGTAACTATAACTAATTACTTTTTCAAAGTAACGTGCCCAACACTGTCAAGCTCTGCCAAACGAGCTGAACTCGTTCTGTCGCTTTGAATCCGCTGATGCCTGTCCTACTGTATTCCCTGAGTGTTTCAATCAAGGTACCTTCACCGTGACTCAGGAGGAAGTCAGGCGTGTCTTGTCCAGGACCATAGTCTGGAAAGCCCCAGGCCCGGACGGCATCCCTCCTCGTGTCCTGAAACTGTGCTCTGAGCAACTTGCCCCTGTGCTAACAGACATTTTCAACCTGTCGCTAAGGAACTGTACTGTGCCGAACTGCTTTAAAGAGTCCACCATCATTCCAGTTCCTAAGAAAACTCCTGTGACATGCCTGAATGACTATCGTCCTGTGGCCCTCACGTCTGTTCTTATGAAAACTTTTGAGCGGCTTGTGCTGGACTTCATTAAGAGCCAGAACCCTGTGAGTGTTGACCCGCTCCAGTTTGCTACAGACAGAACAGGAGTGTGGAGGATGCCATCTCCTTTGCTCTGAACTCTGTCTACAGTCACTTGGACACTAGTAAATCTGTGGCCAGAATGCTTTTCATCGATTATAGCTCTGCTTTTAACTGCCTTGTCCCAGGTAAACTGATTGAAAAGCTCACGTCTCTCGGTTTAAGTGTTGCCATGTGTAAATGGATTTTTATCTTTTTAACTGACAGATCTCAGAGAGTGAAAATCAATGAGTGTTTTTCTGATGTTGTTTCTGTGAGCACTGGTTCTCCTCAGGGATGTATTTTGAGTCCTTTGCTTTTTACTTTGTACACTCACGATTGTGTGTCCTCCTCTGACTCAAACTTGATCAATATGCTGATGACACCACCATCATCGGTCTCATCAGTGACACTGATGAATCCTCTTATAGAGCAGAGATACAAAATGTGGTTCAGTGGAGTCAAACTAACAACCTCCAGTTGAACGCATCCAAAACATGTGAACTGGTCTACGACTTCAGTCGCAATAGTTCTCATTTGCCTGTCATAATCGACAACTCCCAGGTGCAGATCGTAGAGGAGTGCAAGTTTCTGGGTTTAACTCTGTCTAACGACCTGAAATGGGTTAAAAACACTGACCGAGTCGTTAAGAAAGCTCGTCAGCGTCTCTACTTTCTGCGTAAACTTAGAGAATTTACCACTAACTCTAAGATTGTGCTTAACTTTTATGGCTGCACCATTGAGAGTTTACTTGTTGGTTCTGTGTCTGTGTGGTTTGGAAACATCACAGATAAAGAAAAGAGAGCTTTAAACAAGGTGCTCCGCTCTGCAAAGAGGACCGTGGGCTGTGAGCTTCCTGTTCTGGAGGTTCTTTATAAATCCAGACTTTTAAACAAAGCTCTTAGGATTGTTAATGACTCTTCTGGCCACCCTGGAAAAGCCATGTTTGAAACTGTTTTAGTCGATCGACCCGTATTTTCATTTATGTGTCTTCTTTGTACAGTTGGAGAGTCCACTGGTGGTTTGTTAGTGAAACACATGTCAAAAAATACACAGAAATGATCCGAAAGCGCAACATCGACCACGTTTACATTAGAAATGTTCATCCCCTTTGTAACTAACAGGTCTAGAGTGTGCCCTCTGCTGTGGGTGGGGCCACTCACGTGCTGAGTGAGACCAAAAGATTCAAGAACAGAACTCAGCTCTTTTGCATTTCTGTCATTAAAATTATCCATATGAATATTAAAATCACCTGTAATAACCAAACTATCAAAATCTGTGCATACAACTGAAAGCAACTCTGTAAAATTATCAATAAAACTGTGACATGACTGCGGTGGCTTGTATAGGACAACGAAAAGTATTGGAGGAGATTGTTTTTGTTGTATTTTAAAAGACACATATTCAAAAGACGGAAACTTCCCAAGAGACATTCTATGGGACACAGTGGTCTCTAAAAATGGCAGCTAAGCCTCCTCCTTTTTTGTTTCCCCGTATTTCAGATTCAAATTTGAAATTTGGTGGTGATGCTTCTATTAAAACTGCATTTCCTGAATTTTGGTCAAGCCAAGTTTCAGCCATGAACATAAGATCAAGATTATGAGAACAAATAAAATTATTGATTAAAAAAGACTTGTTACAAAGAGATCTGACATTTAGCATAGCAAGTTTCAAAGTTTCAGGATCAGCGGTTGTGGTTGGCTGATTCTTACACGGAACAAGAATTAGATTTTCCTGATTAGACTGATTAACTTCAGATGTTTTTCTGTTATGTATTCTTTGTGTTATCACTAAAGGAATGGCACAGGTGGCTTCATGACAGGGCCCCAGCCGGGTCTCTCCTCTAACTAGACTGCCAGTGGCTGCGAAGCAGAGACCCTGTGCATCCTAGTGTTTAGAGAAAAGAGGGGAAGGGGAAGGCGGGGGAGGAGGATGGAGAGGCGGATGGTTCTTGGGAGTTGGACGAGGGGGGGTTGAAGGTGGATGGGTTTTTGGTGATGGGTTAGGGGGGAGGTGGGCTAAATGAGCAGGAGGGGGGGTGGAATACTTATGGGGTTAGAGGAGGGACGGGTGGATTTTGTGGGTGAATTTGAGTTGGACGCCCTAGGTGGCTTTGGAGGTACGTATGGGGAGTAGTTTTGAATGTTAGATAGGACTCTTGATCTGGCTACAGTGGGTGTGAGAGGAATAGTCTTCATCGCCGATCTTATCATGCCTGCAGAGTGTTCCGGTAATTCCAGTAGTGAAGGCGGGGATAGAAAACAAAGGGAAAGGTCATCCTCATTTTCCCTAGATGGAGTGGATGTAGCGGGGGGACCCAAGCCGGGTCCATGGAAGGTGATGAGGGAGTTTTTGATGGAGACAGAGGTGGTTGAGGAACCCCCAGTACAGGCCTGACTGTAGCCTGGAGCAATGGGGGAAGCTTCACGGGAGCTGTAGGTGGGGAAGGTGCTGCTGAAGATGATGGAGCAGCCACTGCTGCTGCTGTATCCACTGCTGCTGCTGAAGATGATGGAGCAGCCACTGCTGCTGCTGAAGATGATGGAGCAGCCACTGCTGCTGCTGTATCCACTGCTGCTGGTGGTGCTGTATATGCTGATGGCGCTGATGAAGATGTGGCGGCTGCTGATGATGCTGGGGGTGGAGGCGTTGAGCTCTTTCGGAGCCGTGGAGGTGTTGAGTTCTTTTGGAACCTTGGAGGTGTTGAGTTCTTCTTGAATCGTGGAGGTGTCGAGTTCTTTTGAGGAGGTGGGGGTGCAGAGACCTCGGGAGTCGTGGAGATGGTCGTGATGTCTGTACCTGTAACTCTATTTAAAATTTTATTTTTTATTTTTATTATCTCTTTCTGACTGTTGCACTGAGCCAAAGCAATTTCCAAGTCTGTGACTTCCTGTTACTTACGTGGCAATAAAAATGATTCTGATTCTGATCTGCACGCCACTATAGCCGCTCAGAGGACTGTTTGTGCCTTCATCTTTGTTATTGTTATTAGTAACTTTTAGAATTGAATATTATAAAAACATACTGACAGTAACATCTAATGAGCTTGGGTCTCTATAGAAGGCCCTAGGCTTCTTCTTCTATAATTTTAGGAAAGTTACTATAGAATATATTACTGGACAGTGTTTTTGTCATGTTCTCTCCCCCAGGACGTTCAGTGACGGTACTCAGTTGTGTATGTCATGTGTGTGTGTGTGTGTGTGTGTGTGTGTGTGTGTGCAGGCTTCTTCCTCATGCTGCGGTTCTACATGCTGGACTGGATGAGGAAGCGGGCGGGAGGCTCCGTCTTGGGCAGCAGCAGCACCGGCTCCACCAGACAACACATGCTGCAAACCCACGAAAAGAGCTGATGGACTTTACATGTACAGATCAGACAAAATGAGACTGAGGTGTGAGCACATGTGCTGAGGTCTACCTGTGAACACGGCCCCTCGGTTAGACCCTGTGCTGAGGTTAACCTGTGATCACGGCCCCTCGGTTAGACCCTGGACATGGACAAGTCGTCAGAGCTGTCAAAGGTGCGATTGGAGGCAAAATGCAGTGAACCATTATACACTTCCAATGGTGACGCAGTTCCAAATTCAAATGTCAAAACCGGTTCCAGAAAGAGTTGGAGTGGCCGCAGGTTTTAGTTCCAACCTGAGCAGAAGCAGATCCGACTTCACCCATTTCCTTTGTGGAGCAGACCCCAGGAAGACTAGCGACCACCTGTGGAAGTTGATGGGGATTCAAATAAATAAAATGAATACAAAAGAAATCCTCAAATCTTCAGGTTAAAACTAGACACGGAAATGGGTGGAGTCTGCTGTACTCCAGCTTGGGTTGGAACTAAAACCTGCAGCCACACAGCTCTTTAAGAACCACTTTGACATCCCTGCCTTAAGTCTTCATGGAAAAGCTGTTTTTAGTTTAATAAAAATACTACTTGCTCTAACGACAGCAAAAAAATCAGTGTGTAAATATATTTGTTGATTTAAAAAAAAAGGTTACTACATTTTTTTAATGTTATCCAGAAACACATGTCCCAGATATCAGGATTGTTGCTTCATTTATTTCTTATTTATTTAAAATATTCTATTAATCAAACAAATCATGTCAAGCTAAAGTGTATTTAAACATGGTTTGTTTAGTATATGCAGTGGAATTCACACCTACACCAGCTTCCCAAAGTGCTTCACATGAACAAAAGAAAAAGGAAATAAAAACATTTGATTTGATTATATACACTGTGGTAAAAGGCATTAGTTATTTTTTGGCTCATTGTCTCAAACTTTTGACTTTGTAGAACGTACCATCAATAGATGAGGAGTTTTATCTCTCAATAATTAGTCATTGAGCCATTTATAATAATATCCATTCGTTCATTAATTTCCATCCCTTTATTATCCATTTCTGGGTCAGGGGGGTGTCAATCAGAGCTACCACCCAATTCATAAAGCACCAGTCCCCAATTTATAATACAATTGAATTTATTATAATATTCTTGGTTAAAATGACTGACCCAAAAACATGCAAACTGAATCATGATGTACTTTTTGCTGTTGCATGTAAGTGGATCCAGTCACTATTGAAACTGCATTTTATTTTCACGTCACTTTGCCTCCCTCCAAAACGTGTAATAGGTCTATAATGCACAATAGTATTCTGTAAAGGTGCTGGAATCACTGTAGTCGCCGTAACTGCTGTAAAAATGATGTCACGTTCACTTTGAGAGTGGAGAAAAGACCCTCAGGAAGTGCGCACAGGCCTGGAGCTTGGACATACTCTGCTGTATCTGTGAGAATGATACAAGATGAATTATATTTTCTTGATGTGTTTTGTTTGTTTTTTTACTTGTGACTGAGCTCACGTTTTCATCAGGGAAACCACAGAAATGGAAGTTTGATACTTTTTAATAAAATTTTTGTTCTTGCCAATTTAGTAGCACTTAGAGTTGTAAGTGGGAGTCTGTATTTTCTGTCTTAATATTACATAAAAAAGAGGCAATGTTTAGTTTAGTGAACAAACTAAATTCTCCATCATGTGAGCTTTAGAAACTGTGATTTTTGCACTTTTGTGATGTCTTGTAAATAAATGTGCATTCCATTTAATGCTTCTAGAAACATGTGTACAAAGGTTTAATAAAAGAGAATTCATTTGTGTTTCATTGGCCCTGGTGCAGTGTGATAGTGTTTTTCCTGTGACTTCCCTTATCTGCTTCCTCTCAAAGGGCTGAGCTGTTGTGTCTGTGGCTGTGGCTACTGGATTCGTCCGGAAGTTCAGTTAATCAGTCCTTAAGTGGTGACTGGTTAAGTTTAGGTGTCTGAGTAAGATGGTTAAGGTTAGGGTTAAGGCTGGGTTGGGGTCACAGAACAATGTCACTTTACCTCATGTCACTTTACTTATATACTTTTTATCCTGCACTATTTAACTGTACAGTATATAACTGCACTACTACATATATATATTTTGACTGGTATTGAAGCATTTTCAGCATCTACAGCTAGTTATGTTAGTTAAGAAACATAGCTACTACTTATTTGTATATATTGTGTGTCACACAGGCGCAACCACGAGATGATTCTTAACAGCAAAAGCTTTTCTTGTGTGAAGTCTGTGGCTCAGGACCATAGACTGTAAAAAATAATGGACGTAGTCACGCCTACCTCCGCCGTTCTAACCAATGGGCCAAAAAATGTGCTCTACTGGAGCAATCCAAAATGGCTGCGAGTGGTCCCGCTCACAAGAAAATTGTGAAAAAAACGCATCTGCGCATACGTCAGCCGGCGCAGCTCCATTCATTTGAACGAGAGACTTCAAAAATTCACAGCAAGTAAACTAGAGTGGACCAAAAAAATCCACCCCCCTCAGCATTGACACATGTGGAACGGAGCTTTGGGCCAAGAGACAACTTTTGGTCCATCCTGTAAAGACGTTTTTGAGAGGCCAATGCTAACATATAGCATTGGCTATTGGCTAATTCTTATTCCGGGTCCACCCCCATCGGCCCGGGGTGGTATTGCAAGCATGTCAGCGCACGTCATTTTGGCCACTTTTGAGCAGGGACCCGCCCCCACTGCTCAGGACAGACAGCACTGTGCGAATGCTAATGCTAATGTTTTATAAGGTACATTGGTCCAGGGAGGGAGACTGAGAGGGAGACCAGAGGGAGACTGAGGGAGGGAGACCAGCGTGAGACTGAGGGAGGGAGACCAGAGTGAGACTGAGGGAGGGAGACTGAGAGGGAGACCACAGGGAGACTGAGGGAGGGAGACCAGAGTGAGACTGAGGGAGGGAGACCAGCGTGAGACTGAGGGAGGGAGACCAGCGTGAGACTGAGGGAGGGAGACCAGAGTGAGACTGAGGGAGGGAGACCAGCGTGAGACTGAGGGAGGGAGACCACAGGGAGACTGAGGGAGGAAGACTGAGAGGGAGACCACAGGGAGACTGAGGGAGGGAGACTGAGAGGGAGACCACAGGGAGACTGAGGGAGGGAGACTGAGAGGTAGACCACAGGGAGACTGAGGGAGGAAGACTGAGAGGGAGACCACAGGGAGACTGAGGGAGGGAGACTGAGAGGGAGATTAAGAAGAAGAAGGTCCTTTATTCGTCCCACAATGGGGACATTTCAGTTTGATGCACACACATTTACATATATATTTACATACACACATCAAGGCAAGTAGCGAACATCACTTCCGTGCTCCTTATAGGCAAAGTGGGTGAAGTGTCTTGCCCAAGGACACAACAACAGCAGACATCAGTGGAGTTGGTGGAGAATATCTCAAGGTGAGCTCAAACCCACGACCTTTGGGCTCAAAGGCCGATGCTCTACAACTGATCCACTGTCGACCAGAGAGACTGACAAAGTGAGACAGAGAGAATGAGAGACATGAGGTCCTTGGGCTAAAATGTATATATAAATATATTATTTTGTGTGTAATTACTGTTATTTACCCGTCAATAACTTCAGCATTAATACTTCCAGATAATTTAGTTCAGCTGTTTTTCTTCTCTATTTCAGGCGCTGCTGATACTGACGAAGACGGGCAAGAAAGTATATTTAAAGAAGCTATACCCGATTTTTTTTCTAAGTAGTTCATAAAAATGCTTATTACTACATACAAGTCGTATTATAATCAGTAATTTAATGTAAAACTTGAGCTCGTTGATTCAGCTGTGTATGAATTCAGGCGTAAAAAGTGCTGAGTAGAGACTTAGCGTGACGCCCGCTCTCCTCCAATCACAGAGCGAGGCTGCGTCCTCTAGCCTCTACAGCGCTGCTAAACACTAGGGCTTTGACTTCGAAATAAGATAAGATAAACCTTTATTAGTCTCACAGTGGAGAAATTTCAGTGTCATCGTTACACATTACAGCAGAGAAAGGAAATAAGAGCACTCAGATTGCACACATCAAAGTCTATTATTTAAGATAATAGACAATAAATTTAAGATAAAATAAAATAAGAAACTCTGGGCTATAATTGCACTTGGTTCGGAGTATTTACAGATGTCTATATTATACATTAGCAGCGGAGAATATGAGAATATGAGCAGAATAAACATCAGAAATAATATCAACAGGTAAAGTGACTTGAATGGGAGAATTATCAGATATGAAATAATACAGCAGTACTGATAACAGTAAATATCAGATATGTAATAATACAGCAGTACTGATAACAGTAAATATCAGATATGTAATAATACAGCAGTACTGATAACAGTAAATATCAGATATGTAATAATACAGCAGTACTGATAACAGTAAATATCAGATATGAAATAATACAGCAGTACTGATAACAGTAAATATCAGATATGTAATAATACAGCAGTACTGATAACAGTAAATATCAGATATGTAATAATACAGCAGTACTGATAACAGTAAATATCAGATATGTAATAATACAGCAGTACTGATAACAGTAAATATCAGATATGAAATAATACAGCAGTACTGATAACAGTAAATATCAGATATGTAATAATACAGCAGTACTGATAACAGTAAATATCAGATATGTAATAATACAGCAGTACTGATAACAGTAAATATCAGATATGTAATAATACAGCAGTACTGATAACAGTAAATATCAGATATGTAATAATACAGCAGTACTGATAACAGTAAATATCAGATATGTAGTACTGTAGTAGTACTGATAACAGGTAAAGTGACTAGTGACAAAGTTACTAGTGAATTATCAGAAACACTTGTGCAGACTCAGCAGTTTCTGTTACACATTCTCGTTGTACAGTCTGACAGCAGCAGGAAGGAAAGACCTGCGAAACCTCTCCTTCACACATCGAGGGTGAATTAGTCTGTCACTGAAGCTGCTCTCCAGAGCAGAGAGAGTGTCCT